ACTAATGGGTCTCAGTCTGCAGTGAAAAAATAAACTAGGTGCCAACACACAGAGGCCACCTTTGGCTCACTTACGTACTAACATCCTTCACCAAATTTGAAGATTTATTTAGTCATCACACCATCAAATATTCTTTTTTCCTATTTTTCTCTCTTCTCTCCTTCCTATCATGCATTTTGTGTTGAAAATTGGACATTTACTGTTAAAGCTCATTATAGTTGCTATTTTTTGGCAACTTTTTTTGCACTAAGTTTGTCTAGTGTGTATTCTTTTTGGTGTGTTGCTGCTGAAGTCTCCATTCCACTAACTTAGTGGTCAGCTGATGATTTTCAGAGATTTCCCTAAATGCTAAGACTCAGCTGATTATTGAATAACTGGCTGCTGTAAACCCTTAATTAGTTTCCAGGGTTCCAAAAAAAATTTGATTCTGACAGCCCTTGCCAGGTTATTGGCTGATTTAGTGGAGGAATGAATGGGCCTTTGGAGTACACAGTCTACCATTTTCCTCTGACATTACTCAGTATTCTTTTATCTAAGAAAGGGGATGATCTATATCCTCTATTAAAAGAACAAAAAAAAAATTGTAACATTGAAACAAAATGGTTCCCTGTGGAAGAGGGGAGTAAATAGGGATAGAAAATAGATTTGTTTCTTTTTTTCTTTGTTTTAAACAAGAAGTATATTTAAACAAGATGCCTGACTTGAAGGAAAATCTAGGATTCTTTTTTAAAAAGTAATTTATCTCTAGATTGCCCTACATGTAAGAGCTATACACAAAAAAAGTTACAATATTGACCTTGGTTTTATAATGATAAATGAAAAACATTTAAATTCTACAATTGAACAAGGTATGCAGGAATTTTTTATGTTATTTCTTGTAAAAACAATGAGAGCAAAAATAACTTACTGAAATATAAACAGTTAATTGAGCAAGTCACTAATGGAGAAAGGGAGTATTCTCACAGAACCACTATTTTTCCCCATCTCATCTCCACTTGATGCCAACTGAAACAACATTGACCATTAAAAAGAAAAAAACAATATGCTTGTGCACATACACAAGTTACTTTACATAACTCTATGAATGGAATGAATAAAGGAAACTCATAGTAGTCAGGATGTAGTGGAACCAAATTGTGGTTCTCTGAGACTGTAGCCTTGTCTGTAATACAGTTCTGGAGTAGCAGATTCCCTTTTTAGTAGATGTCGCCTGTCTTCTGCTGGAACATATCAATTGTATCTTCATATTCCATTTCCAATTGTGCAGATATGTCTGTTTCATTGACTGGCTGTCAAATTAGAAACTCATCTTTCTAATTGACAGATCCTATAGTTCATAATAGTATTTCAAAGGTTTACTATGTGACATATGCCTCTTAATTGTAAGCTGCACCACAGAATCACTCTGCCCCACACCTTCAAATTAATATGACCGTTGTTCTCAGTCTTGACTCCTTTCAAATTGGTCTACTTCTCTTCAGCTTCTGGCTGTGGGTGGAGCTGCATTTGATGGGCTTACATGGGTCCTCTGTATGGGGTAAGGGTTATAAGGCCTTAGATGTGAGACAAGTCAAGATAGGCAGCTACATTTCTTTAAATATACCTTATTTTATAGATTTGACTTTGGATCCACATATTTCACATACTTGTTTACTGTTAAGTGTTTACATCAATAAAAAGTCCATACAATGCAGCAAATAGATTTATATTTATTATGATATTTTTCTTTAGCCACTTCCTAATAATTATCAAAAAATTAAAATATTCAAAAAGCAATTCCCGAACAAACTATTTCCAGACTCATAAACTTGGCTAGGTCTAACATTTGTAGGGAGAAGTTAAGATTTGAGCTCAGTCTAACTACAGATGATATACTCTTAACCATTATGCACTGTGCAACATTAAGAGGCATAACGTAGGTAAAGCACCTAGTAAATAAATAAATATTCCACCAATACCTTACTCAGGGAAACAAATGTTTGCCATCTTCACACTTAGGGTTCACTATGTCTAATAGTGAAAACTGAACAAATAAATGCTATGATTATAAACATTTGACCAAGAAGACCACTTTTTGAGTAACGATGGGTGGGGGGAGGAAATGTGCCTACTAGAATAAGGTTACACGTTAGTCTTTCATTTTCTTTACAAAAATAAAGATTTGATAAACAGACTTATTTTTGTATACCCCATAGGTATACAACTCCTGACCATTTTGCTTCTCTTAAGCAGTATCTTAAATCCAAATACATTCCCAATATCACTGCTTCAGTTTATACTTGTATTTCCTACCTGGACTATCAAATGGCCAAACTAGTCTTTTTTGCTTCCATTCTCTTTTTCTGTATCTATTTTCCATCATGCCTTTGGATTTTTACTAAAAATAAAATGAATGTGGCACTATTTTGCTTATATCAAATATTCAGTTACTTCCCTATAGTGATTTTTCAAAATACATTCCTAGAAGACTCACAACTCAATAGAATTGCTTCATTCTCTACGTGAGAGAAGGCAGAAGTTAGATGGATAAGGTGCCCTTGTCATCCCTTCAGTCACAGGCGGCTTAATTTGTTTATATGTCTAAGTTCTCGTTTGTAAAAAACGTCTCCCAATTTCAAGTTCTTCATGATCCTGATCCTAATCTACTGTTACTCACAAGCCCTATACTTGCAGCCATTTCTAAGTCTTCAGTTTGCTGAATTTAGAAAAATGTTGTTTCATGCCTTTAGTCCTTGAATAGCCCCTTTCTTCTAGCTGTATTGCTACTCTCTACATGCCTCAGGAAGCCTAAAAAATCTTAGTCTAGAGATGACAAAAATGTATAAAGCCCCCAGGTAGCTTCTTGTTTCCCTCTCTCTGTTCTGATAGCACTTTGTACACCATGATATTACAACTTCTACCACCCTTTTTTTCATCATCTACCAACATCTGTGACTTTGGACAAGTAACAACTTCTCTAGGGCCTTGATTTTCTCACCTTCAAAATGGAAGTAAGTATACTATCTAATTCAGAGATGCTGGGAAGGTTAAATGTGGTAAGGCATGAAAGGGCCTGGAAGAGTATCTAGCACAATAGATTTACTCAAATGTTAGCTATAATAATTACCAATAATACCACCACCATTACTCAACTACAAGAGTCTATTAAACTGTGAGCTCTGAGGATTTTTGTAACCCTAGCACATAGCTCATGTTGAAAGAAAGTGATCTACATTCTCTAATATGTAGTATGAATATGGTCACTCATTTGCTATTATCCTCAGGTTGAAATTATTATTTGTTCCCTAGTGACTTCAGCTACTTCTTTTTTTGCAAGATATATTGCTTAATATGAATACTGTAATTTCCTTAGAGTATGTTTCTGCAGGAAATTAAAACAAATGTTTATTACTTAACTTATTCAAATGTTAAATACACCTTCCTTTTATATATTTCAACAGACTTACGGAAGATACCCATTGGGATAATTTTATGGCAACTTGGCTGGCCACAGAGCTTAGGTATGTGGTAAAACATTATTCTGAATGTTTCTGTGAGGGTGTTTTTGGATGATATTAGCATTTAAATCAGTGGACTTTGAGTAAAGAAGTTTTCCCTCTCTAATGTGAATGGGCCTCATCCAATCAACTAAATTCCTGGATGAAACTAAAGAGACTGATCTCCCCCAGCACAGGGAAATTTTGCAGCACAAGGCCTTTGGACTTGAATGTCTACAACACGGTATCATCCCTGGGTATTCAGCCTGATTGCTTCGCTTAAACTCAACATTAGCTCTTCCTTTCCCTGGGTCTCTAGTCTGCCAGCCCACTCTGCAAATCTGGACTTGCCACCAAATCACGTGAGTCAACTCCTAAAAATAAATCTCTTTCTAGCTCTCGATATATACACGTCATATTCATTCTACTTCTCTAGAGAACCCTAATTCACCCATCTACAAAATATATATGTGAAATTAAGTTATGAGTCAACCGATAATCATTTAAATGAAAACAGAAGTCTTTGATACTCCTTGACACACTCAAGGTTACATACTGATAAACTCATCATTCATTGAAAACATCATTACGCTGGTTGGGTGCAGTGGTCACACCTGTAATCCCGGCACTTTGAAAGGTCAAGGCAGGTGGACTGCTTGAGCCCAGGAGTTTGAGACCAGCCTAGAGACCCTGCCTCTACAAAGAAAAAAAAGAAAAGAAAAGAAAAGAAAATTAGGCATGTGCCTGCAGTTGCAGCTACTCAGGAGGCTGAGGCAGAAGGACAGCCTGACCCCAGGTGGCTGAGGCTGCAGTGAGCAGTGATCATGCCACTGCACTCCAGTCTGGGCAACAGAGTGAGACCCTGATTGGAAAAAAATAAAGAAGAAAATATTGTTAAGTTGAAAATACATTTAATACACCTAACCTACCACAAACCATAGGCCAGCCCACCCTAGCTTAAATGTGCTCACAACACTTACACTAGCCTACAGTTGGGCAAAATTATACAACACAAAGTCTATTTTATACTAATGTGTTGAATATCTCCTGTACTTTATTGAATACTGCACTGAAAGTGAGAAACAGAATGGTCATATGGGTACTTAAAGTATAGTTTCTACTGAGTGCATACTGCTTTTGCAATATCATAAAGTCAAAATATTGTAAGTTAAACTATTGTTAAGTCAGAAACAGTATGTATATGAGCATATACATAATTATATAAATAAAATTATACATAAGATATATTAAATTATATGTAAGAAAATTAAGAATTCCTGAAGGTTTTCTTTCCCTTCTTTATTTACTTTTGATAACATCCTGTCATTTATACTATAAAGAGTAAGAAAAGAGAAAGGGAAGAAATAATTGCACTTTTATTTTAAATTCCAAAACTACTCATTTCATGTGAGACATAAAATTTAAGCCACGTATATAAGCACAAAGACGAACATAGGTGCTCTCAATACTGACAAAATCATGAACTATATAACATATACTTTTAAATCAGGTTTCCTATTTTTATAAAACAGTGAAAAACTAAGTTCATTTAAAAAGTATATAGAAAAATATAATAATTTGGGTGTTCTCTTCTCAAACATATGGTTTTGAAGGTAGGTTACTTAAGTGTTTACACCAGTAAAAATCTATATACAATGCAGCAAATAGATTTACATTCACTGTAACATTTTCCTTCAGTTATTAGTTTATTGACTGCCATAGAAGCTCCTTGAAGAGTCATCACTTAAGGAATTCTCCAGGTTAGGAATCACAACCAAACTTTGAACACTTAGTCAAAAAAACATGTAAATGCCAGGTCCTAGCACAATGAACAGATGTAAATAACCTAGAAGGGTGGAATACGCCAAATAAAGACGATCTTAACTAAGCACCATGGTAAGAGGCACTGTACTCTTATTAAAGAAAAGTCTTTACTGTTGAGGGCACTGGGTCTCTGGAGTTGATTTGGAAGACACGTATAGAATAGGGTGTAATTTCTTACAAGTTTCCTTTTCCAATTTGCTTGCAGTTTCTTTTCCTTCTTTAACTTCTGTTTGAAGCTTTGATTCAGCAGCTAACCTACAGGCATTAAAGCATCCACTCTGAATTTAAACGTGGTTAAGGAAAATTAAAGAAACAAACCCCTAATATAAGGGGCCTCCAATGAGGCATCGTGATATCCCAATGACATCAATGAACTGGATTTGATATGCAAAAATGTTATACATTTTTTAATGCATACAAGGAAAAATATTATAGTTGACTCTAATGCCATTAAGAATACTTAGTCACTGACTCTGAGAGAAATTTTCATTATCAATAGGGTCATTTTTTTTTAAAGTTCAAAGAGTATCTTTAAGGTTGATAAAAAGTCACAGCAAGACCTTAATTACAGAATTAAAATATAATGGGGCATCTATCATGATAAGCACAGCTAACACAAAAATTAAAATGCTAGAGCAATATTTTAGCATTAACATGACACACAAAAAGCTAAGTTCAAGATAAAAATAACATGGAATCCTGGGCTGCATGAGTGGTTGTCTATTTGTCTCATATTTTAAAAACAGAGTTTCAACTAGCATAAGAGTTAAAGAAAAAATAAAAAGTAGAGATATTTTAAAAGGCCTGTGAAAATTCTTTAATAACAAGAGCATCAATTAGATTTATAAAGCATGCAATAGTGAAGTTCCCTGTAAAGCCCATATTTATTGTTCCAAAATTATCTTAGGATATGTGCCTAAGTTAAGCATGCAGAAAACAAAGGTTGGAAACATCTTAAGTTAGCAGATGGACACACACACACACGCACACAAATAAATGTTTTGTGGTATTTTATTTGTTTTTGTTTAACTAGCAAGACAAAGTTCCCAACATGCTACTTAATTTGAATCAAACAATTAGCTACATACATTGCTTAAGTCATTTTTATCCAGTAAAAAAAAGGCAGGAAAAAGAAATGAAGACAACACAGATACCAAGGCTGGCACGTATCAATTCTGGAAAACCACCTCTAGAAATATATACTGGTCAAGCACACTTACATCATGAATCACAGATAAACAGTCACAATCTGCTGAATTCATTTAAGAACTATTTGGAACCATGTATATGTGGGCAGGTGTCACTAATTTGAAGTTACTTTTTCCTTAAGAAATCAAGCTTTTATTTTATGTGACTTATATTTTATCTCATTAAATAAAAACTTGAGGAAAGGAGTAATAAAATACTTTTCCTTATACTAACAGTAGTTAACATTGTCAAAGTGCTTTCATTGTTGAGTAGTATATTTAATAGCATGAAGACTTGAAGAGAAAGCAGATAAAACACACAAGGAAGCCCTTTTGCATAAAATGGGTTGTGTCTTTCTCTTCCGAATCAGATGTACATTAGTAAACTGTCTTATTAATCTGTATTCCTCTAAGACGGATGTAGCCCTAAGTAGCGCCTTAAAGATCTCACTTCATAGGACATAATCCAAGCTAGCTATTGTCACATCGATATGCTTAATGTTTTAAATGTCTACAGATACTTATTTTCAATGCATCTATCAGTCCATTGCATGCAAATATCCTTCATCATTCTTTTACTTTCTCTGGTTTCTTCATTTACTTCTTTTTTCATCTCATTCCATGTACATCCAGAACTCTACCCTCAGCCACTGTTACCGACCTTCCCCTTTCATTCACTTTCTCTTACCTTCTGACCTCTATTAATGTTCTGTTATTAAAGGAGAAGGCCTTTGGGACATCAATTCCTTCATATACACATGCCTGACACCTTCATTTGGTCACAAACTCAATTATGCAAAAACTAGACACTTTCAAGTTTTGGAAACAATGAAAATGAATTGGCTTTGACACGTAAATTTGCTAAAATAGGTATCAAAGTCATCTTGAAAGTTCAGAATAAGCTACTTCAAAAGCCATTAAAAATTCACCAGAGTTTTCTAGAAGGCTGAAATTTCTTAGACTACTAGAAAGCCCTTTGAGAAAGTAAGTTAATTTTTACTTCATGGCTATGCATGAACCAGGAGAAAAATAACAGTACATTTATTCAAACCAACAACATATTCAGAGATGTATTAGACTGTAAAATCTCCTTTCATGAAATAGGAATGGATAACTTTTAAATGATTCCCTTATTCAGGAGTCCTTTTTCCTGACAATCATTTTAGTCTTTCTTAAGGTTCTAGAAAAGTTGAAGGCAGGCAGATGAAACTGAGGAATCACACTGCATGCAATACTAAGAAAACAGATAAAGAGGCAGATAGCACAGTTCATGCAGCGAGAGAAGAGAGATGGAGAGGCCTGTTGGTTGCCTGGAAAAAAAGGGGGCACTAACCTGGGAGAGTTAGGGGTGTTTCCACTTCGTTCACTTAAGGTTTCAGTGTCAGCAGGAACTCCGAGCTTTACACATTTTTTCTCCTTCTTCAGCTGTGTATCCATGGGCAGACTTTTGGGAGGAGAGAGATTGACTACTGTTGTGTTTGTAGAAACCAATTTTCCTAACCACAAATTGTTATCTTCTAAAATGTTAGGACAGGACTGTGTCTCCTCCTTCTGAGGTGGTAATCTACAAACTTCTTCCCTGACAGTGCTGTTGCTGGCACAGGCATCCTTAGGGGTGGTTACATCCATAGGCAGCACCTCACGCCGCTTTTTGAGTACAGGCACTTCAACTGTCTCTGAGAATAAAGTTCATTAAAAAATCCAGTCAGTCAGTGTGGCAATTTCTGAAAGAACTTGAAATTGACCTTCCATATGACCCAGCAATTCCCCTATTGGGAATACCTGGAGGAACTCAAATCATTCTACAAAAAAGATATCTGCACACATATGTTTGTTGCAGCTCTATTCACAATAGCAAAAACATGGAACCAACCATGTTGCCCATTGAAGCTGGACTGGATAAAAAAATGTGGTACATATACACAATGGACTATTATGCAGCCATAAAGAAGGATAAACATATGGACTTCGCAGCAACTTGGATGGATTTAGAGTCGATCATACTCAGTGGTCTAACACAGAAACAAAGAACAGAGTACCATATGCTCCCACTCATCAGCAGACCTTGAGCAATTATAATACTATAAGAAAGGGATTGGCAATAGTGGGAACTGTCAGGGGAACGGAGGTGGGATTGGCAGTTGAGGGAAACTGCTAGGGGAGGGAGAGGCATACCTCATCAACAAGGGTACCTGCATATTCAACGTTGTATACCCAACCCTGAATCGTATCCCACATCTTAATTTAAAAAAAAAAAAAAATCCAATCAGTGGAAGAAAATCAACAGCAGGAATAGAATTAAATAAATCTATCATTTTTTTCCTCTTTTAAAATCCACTTATTACCCACTGAAATATATCATTTCTAACTTTTGGTTTCTTTATTATCATGTAATCTTTAAAAAGTACGTGTTAAGGTTTATTTGGCTATATATTTTTCCTTGAGAACTCAGTATTTTGACTATAGAAATGAACACTTTATCTTCTGGTGTTCTGATAAAGGGGGTTGAGGTTTCTTAAAATCTCAGCATGGAGATGAGGATATAGCAAAGAAGAGTCCTGGTTCAAATCACAGTACTACTACTTAGCAGCTGGGTGACCTTAGGGAATTATTTAACTTCTCTGAGTTTCATTTCTTTGTCTGTGAAATGGGTATTGAAAGGACAGACTGAGAGTTGGAAGCCATTTTTCATCTTGTTCTTAAACCCTGACACAATGATGAGAAAGTAGAAGCTATGTTTTTGGAGTAATGCATACATTAGGTAAAATTAACTTTACTGACTTTGTCCTTTCAGAGATACAGACTTCCTAATGCCAGAGGTATCTCATAGTGGCAATCAAGCTTGCCTAGAGTAAAGGGAATTTACAAGGCCTAAGACATCATGCATTGAGCAAGGATTGTAGAAGTCACGAAACTTATAATTACAAAAATTATAATCGCTCAGAAGGGGAGCAGTTGGGGAGATTCTATCTTCCAGTAAATTGGGTGCTATCTACAGGGAAGTTAAGGATCCCCCAAAGTTACCCACTGGGAATGCATAGGAGATAAGGGGAAGTGCACCCTCCATTAGCTCTAAGGAATGTCGTTCGGGAAGGTACAGGAGTATTAGAATCCTTGTCATGCCCTTCTCTAGGGGCTAGGATAATATGGACAGACATTAAGGAGTCTCTGTCTCACAGGATCTCCAAGACATCTGCAGGTGGTCAATTAGGAAGTCACGGTAGTCACATCTACCTAACTGCAACATCTCTAGGGGAGAGGATTTAAGACAGGACTCAGGGGAGCTACAGGGCCACACTCACCTAGAGTGTAGGCCCGCTCCCTGTCTGTGGGGAGCAAAATTTTCTTAAATAAATCTTATCTTCTTTCATCTCTTTGTGTGTTGCAATTCTTTGCATTACTTGGATCTCTGGGTTACCAGCACATACCTCCGGCACGCAGGCTCTGGCGGTGCTGTGCCCTTGCGCCTCCCTCTCCATCCATTCCTCCACCCTTACCCTATCCGTGCCCATGTCCTAACAAGGATTAAAATTAACTACTTCACTTTGTATTGTGAGTTATGAGGGTGAAATGATAAGAATAGGTCAAACTCTAAATGTTGACAATTTATGTCTATTAGCCCCACCTACAAAATATATTCAGAATCTGACTGCATTTATGATGGCTACCTCCCTAGTCCAACCACATTATGTGTCATCACAGACTCCTGCAATGCCTTCTATCCTCAGGGACTAATACCATCCTATCATCTATGCAGCTCAGTTACATAGTCACTGAATTAACTGCTCTAATATCTTACCCACTCTCACATCAATGTGTGTTTCATTTTCAAAACCAAAATGTGAGTGGAGTCTGAGGAACCACGGTAAGAGGAGAGGCTGGTGTCCTAGTTCTACACTGCTGCTTTTAGATCTTTATTTTCCCTTTCTCCTGCACTGCTCCTTTGAAACCACATATCTGGAATCACTACACTGCTTCCTGTCTCTTTGCTGCGTTCAGTTCAGCAGACCTTTCAAATTCATGATGGATAATTTCTAATCAGGAAAGCCTGTTAGAATCAGGGAAGAAAAAAGAAGAAAGAGAAGCCTCTTAAATTTGTACAAAAATCTTCCTATTTTTGAAAACCTACCCTTCTATTGGTGAGAAGCATGGCAGTTCAATGAGACAATAATAAAAAAAGGCTTAGGCATGTGAAGAGTGTAGAGGCAAAAACTGGTTGTAAATCCTTAATCTAAAACACATAACAATACTTTTTTGGGAAGGGAGTGTTGTAGAACCAGCAAAGTCTTAGACTTCTTTACATTTGGCCTTTTATTTTTAAATGTATACGTAGTAAAATTCACTCTTTGTGGTCTATAACATGCAGAGATTGTAGGGCTAAGCTGTTTGTTATCTCAGTGATTGGACTTGCTAGATAGATATTCCCTAACATCTTACTGTTTTTCCTTAACACAAGAATTCCAAATCTTTAGTTGGAACATGGGCCCCTAAGAATCAGAACTATCTTTCTCAGCCTGTCCTGCAGGCAGATGAGGCCACAGGACTAGATTCTGCTCAGTGGGACGGCAGCAGATCAACACACAAGCAGCCTGAGCTCCAACACTGGAGTGCTCCACCAGTCCTGAATTGCCTTCTCCAGACTTTAATCATGGGGAGGAATAAATTCCTATCTTTTTTATGTCCCCATTATTTCAGATTTTCTATAAACAGTCCTAACTAGTATAGGTCCCAAACATCAGCTACTTCAACAAAATTAAACTCTTTGGTATGACATAAGATACTACAATCTTAAATGGAGAGTCTCAAATGTCAAGTTTCTACTATACAGTATGATGAATTTAGATGTCCAAAAATAATACCTATTATATTCATGCACACCTACTATTCAGCTGTCTTTGAATTTCTCTATACATTTTACATCAGCAAATCTGCTTTTTAAACTATAGCTACACAACCACAAATGAGTCTGTCACAGGATTTGCATAAAACTATAGTAAGAAAACAATTTGATATAATTTCTCAGAATTACTCATGCATGATTTAAAAGACAAAAAACATATGAGACATTCATACCTTCAGGTTCATACTTCAATTTCATTTCATCTAGTTTAGCTCTTAGTTTCATATTCTCACTTTCTGAAAGCTGGAGGCATCTTTCATTTGCAAAAAGTTTTCGCTCGATATCCAGAGCACGCTGGCTCTCAAATAATGCTTTCATCCGCTGTATGGACAATTCACCTTTAATGCTTTCATTTTCTTTGCTATAAAAATAAAGAAAGGAGAACCAAAGAGTATTAACATAGCATATAATACAAATAAATGTAGTGGTGTAAATATTTTACTGCATACTTGAACTTAGTTAAAAATGCATTTCTCTAGGGTTTTCAGTAACAAAGAAACAATAAACAATTACAATTACAACAAGCTCTAACAATAGTACTCCCAAATTAAAACGCACGCATTCTTTAAAGGAAATGGACAAATGAGGGAATATTCTTTTCCAAATTTATTTATGCACAAATAAATTTCTGTAAATTTTAAATTATGTAATATTTATTCTTGAAAATTTTCAGTTATAAGAACATTTTCTATGTTAAAATTCTTTTCATTTACCAATATAAAGGGCTAAACACAAAGACATATAAAAACATTCAATAATGCTTTGAAAATAATCAGTAATTATTAGATCTTGAATAAAACTCATATACTACACAAAGATTTTTGTTGCCTTTCTTTTCTGGAATTTTGTTTCAGCAATTTCAAAGTTAAAATTTGCAGTCACTAACACTACTATTGTAAGCAAGTAAAGTCTCCTCCTTTCTATCCACCAACCTGGATACTTACTTTAAGTTATCAAGCTTCATCTGCAGTAAATCTGTATAATAGGTGTTATCTTCCAGAGCTAGTTGAAGAGCGCCGGAACTGGTTGAAGGTTTAGATTCCACACTTTCATATAAATTCTTTAAAAAGCAAAATTTCTTGTAACTTGATAAATTAGGTTAGTCTATATTTACTAGTAATAATACCACCAGTGCTTATTGAATAATTATCATTTGGCATGCTCTATGCTAAGAACTACCCATTTAACTCATTTGCTTTCTGAAATAGGTCAAATAATTAGCATTCTTCTCTTACAGGTAAGAGAACTGGTTCAAAATGCGATAGGAAAGTAAATCATGAAGACAGAATCCAAATCCAAATCTGACTCCAAAGCCTATGTTCCTAACCACACCCACATGCTCTGGTCTCCCTCTTCTGGCTTTTCAACTGGAAGAAATAAATGCTTCCTGGGTTGAATTCTGGCCTTTATGATGAAGTGATACACTGGAAAAATATTTTTTAAAAGAGGAGATCTTTAAATTTATTTTTGGTTTCCTTCTGAAATTATTATTTTTTAACTTTGCTGGCAAGTATGTACAGCAAGATCTTCTGAGATTCTATATGGAAACTCTATACATTTCTCTAGGGGTGGGGAAGTAAATCTGCTTAAAAACTTGCAAACAACTTCAGAGACTGTAAATGAAACCCCCTGGTTTAAAACCATAATTTTCAAAGTATAGTTCTGAGTCCAACGGTGGACCACATATGTCTGCCAATTGACATACTGCAAATTTAACCAAAATTGCAGACCTTTCAACAGTTTTTATGAGACACAAAAATAGTCATGTAAACTTACAATTTTATAATACACTAATAATACAATTTAGAATGCCTGAGAGGTTAATATTTATAAAAATTTGCCATTTATAAACTTTACTTAATTAGAAGATATCAAGCTCCCTAAGTTAAATCTATAAAATTTTAAATATAATGTAATTCTAATACAAATAACCAACAAGCTTTCTTTTGGGTACTAGTCAAGATGTTCATAGAGAAAAATAAACATGCAAGAATAGTAAAACATTAAAAATGAAGAGGTATGGTGAGGAAATAGACTTAACAGACAAAACACTACAAAACTTCTATAATCAAAACTGTGGTACTGACACACAGATAAGCAGACTGATAGAGCAGAACAGAAAACTCTAGAAAGAGACTCAAGTACATACGGACATATGGAACTTAATATATGATAAAGGTGGCACCTCAAGTCACTGGGGCCATGACTGACTTTTTAACAAATGATACAGGGACAACCACCTAGTTATTTGGAAGAAGAAAGAATTAGATTTATACCTAAAATCATATTAAAAAAAAACTTCAATCTCCATCAGATCTCTAAAGGTGAAAGTGAAACAACTACTAGTAGAAAATATGGGTGAATTCTACACACACACACACACACACACACACACACACACACACACACACACACACACACACACATAAATACTTACATAAATACCACTGCCCACTAAAAGAAACCAATGGTCCTCGCAAAAAATGCTGATTCCAGGGCTGGGGCAAGTAAGCTAGAAATACCTTGTTGTGACAGAAGTACTCAAAGGAAGTACTCAAAGAATTATGTGCCAGAAAATAAGGAAGTGCTCCCACTGGCCAAATCTGGGACAATTTGAGTATCAGAGTGAATAAAGAATGTAATGTGTTGTAACCCATAGGATGAAATAAGAATCCATGGGGCTATAATGATGTAAGTAAATGAATGAATTTGTAAGGAAAAAGATTCTTTCCCAACTCTGTATTAGAATTTCAACCAATACACATAGAAGAAATGATAGAATTACCATTTGGCAATCATCACAGAATTATTTGTTTCAGGCAAGAATCATTAATGGATGTTCACATATACAGAGAAACTATGCATATACTTAGTCTCAAAGTATGTCCCCACGAGATATTTATTAATATTTTTAACTTAAAATACAAACCAAATTTTAAGGTATTCAAATCTTAAATTCAAATCAAAATCTGGCCGGTTTTTAAAAAATTTTAATCACTTCAGGGGTACAAAAGGTTTTCAGTTACATAGATGCATTGTATAGTTGTGAGGAAGTCTGGGCTTTAAGCATATCCATCACCCCAGTGAGTGCACACTGCACTGGAGATGTGATTTTTCATCCCTCTCCTGTGGCTGCATTTTTTAACAAGTGTTACACATACCTTAAATTTCTCCAAATTTCTAATTTCACCTAAGAGATGTTTTATTTCACCATTCTTCTGCTCCAACATGGCAAGCAACCGTTCCTGCTGCTCAAATTCAGTTTGAGACCCTTTTATCTGTAGCAGTGTGGCGATTTGTAACTAGAAAAATAGAATTACCCCCCTAATAAAATAAATGAGAGGAAGGGTCTAATAACCATATTTTTGATATAACTCATATTTTGTACTGTATTACTTTGAACTCATTTAGGAAACTAATTAGTTATTTCTAGTCTAATGATTTGAAAACATAAATATCAATTCGCTTTGTTGAACACATCTGAACACTTATTTTGACTATTTATGAATGATAACCAAAGTCTGTCACATAATTATTTGTACTTTTGTGAAACAAAATTGAACTGCATGGCTGTGGTCTGAAAGCCCATCATTTACCTGGTAAATAAGCTTGGCCAAATGTTGCCCACTACTCACCATATGCACTAGCTCTCATTAAGGGTATGATGCGTTTTCTCAAAAATTTTAATTAACCTTAATTAAGTGGGAAAAAGTATTAAGCTACTCACAGTCATAAATGTGAGATTCACAAATGACAAGGACAGAAAGCAAAAATAAGAGGTTGTTTAAGGATACTGGGGCAATCTTCAACATAACATGCTTTAATTGTTTTAAAGCAGCACTCAACTTACCTAATATGACTTCCCCTAAATCTGGAGTTGCATAGCAATCAGAAGGAAATTAACTAGACTCTAAACCTAGCATTCATTTCTGCCTTTGGAAATATATGGGGTTGAAAAAAGTGTCAATTAGCTTAAATATAGTTTTGAATAAAGCAAGCAATGATATGAAGCTATAGGTATGTCTATGAGGAAAAGGGAATAATGACTTTTAACATTTTTAAGGATATCCTTTTTGTTCCTGTTTCAGATTGGAGACTAGGCACATTGAGCTTAAGACGAATCAGAAGGTTTCTAATTCTAAAGATAGTTTGAGACCTCATGGAACATTGGAAGATTAAAGTAGCCCAACAAATACTATAAGAAAGCAAAGAGTAAATGTGAAAAATTTAGAGAAATCACTCCCAGATAGGAAAGAGTCTCAGTAAACCATGCAGCATAGTCTGGAAATCCTTAGAAATTAAACTCACAGTTATTGTTCATGAAACATGTACTTATTTTCCAAGTATCCATGTAAGTATTTACTACACTGTCATTTAACTTCAGGAAAATTCTAAGAGGCAGGTTCTATCATCTCATGTTATAGATGAGGTAAATGATGCTCTGAAAAGTTAAAATACTTGTCCAGGGTCACAAAGATAGCAAGTGACAGAACTATGATTCAATCCCAAGTTCATCTGATTCCCAATTTTAATCACTGAACCTGTGGGATTTCTTGGGTAAAACCCACCATCCTCAATAAAAGGAGGGAAGACTTTCCAAATCCAATGACTACCTCAGAAGAGTCAGCACATAGATGAGGGTTTGGGGTCTAAGGACTGGTATAATAGTGGAAGCTTTTTAACTTACACAAGTTTTTGTTACCTCTTATTTGACTAGAATGATGAAGAGCAAAACCATTAAAATTCAAAGGGCCTACATGATTGACTTGAGGAGTTATAAGACAAGGGGACCATGAACAACCCAAATTTCATTCTCTTATATGCCTCTAGGAGAGAACAAAGGAATTATGAGGGTGCTGGTTTTAGCTGAAGTAGGAACCTAGGGCTATGCTTAGAAAGGCCAGGAGTAAGAAATAAATACTTTTTGATTTTTTTTTTCTATTTCACCAAGAAAGGTATTAGATCTCCCTGGCAAGGCTAGTAGGCAACCATTAAAATAAACAAAAACTCAATAGTTGCTAAATATACTATTACTAAATATTTATTCCAAGATTAATTTTTTAAAAATATAAATGGATCTTTTAACCAATTAAAAAACACTGAGTTTTTTAAAATCATACAGTCCTAGAAATAACTATATTAGTACTTTCCTTGCAGGAAAAGATGGTTTCTTTGATATATTTGGACATGCAATGTTAACACAAAATAGGGTTAATAAATCCTTGATAGTGACAATGTTATACCTTCATTCTCTGCATCTGTTCTCTATTAAATACATTTTGCTTCTTTAGTGACTGATATTTGACTTTCATACTGATAAACTGCCGTTCCAGTGCCGCTCTTCGATCTTCCACCTACAAAATATTAACATGTTTAATTGTTCTTGTAGCAAATGAAATACCAATTTAATCCATTTAAATCATAGAATTCTTATACACAAATACCTCTGCAAATAAAGAGTTGCCTTTACTATTGGGATCCAAGGCTTGCTGAAGTGCCTGGTCCAACTGCACCTGAAGATCTTGATTTACTACACGAGCTTTCTAAATTCAGAAGAAAACCATTTAGCTAGTAGAGATTAGATTAGCAAGAAAACAAGTTAAATAAGAAAAGATAATGTTACTGTGATCATAATACCTCTAGGGCATTATAGTAAGAAACTGCTTCTTTCTCTCGCTCCTCTTTTTCTTCTTTCAGTCGGTCTACCTGGCGCATTAAGTTAGTAATAAGAAGTTCTTGCTGTTCTTGTCTGTACTGTAGTTCATTCACTTTTTCTTCAAGGGTGGTCTAGTCAACAAGAATTAAAAGTGAGGAAATTCTCTTGAATAATCTTTCATTTAATAGCTGTGCTGTTTCGTTTATTTATCAGTGGTGGTTCACATCCAAACTAAAACTAAAGAACCAGTCAAAGGCTGTATATATTAAAATAATAGAAATTGCTAAATTTTTCAGCAGGACACAAAGGCTCTGGAGACTGCTTTATCCCCCTATAAATTTACAGCTTTAATTTTTAATTAACTTTAGTCTGCAATGAAAAAACTAAGTTCATAGGCATTTCAACTTCCACTGCACCAACATTTTATATGGGACTGTTATGACACAAACTAGGATCAGATTATATGCCTCTAAATTCTTCCAGAGGTTTCATTAAACTAAAGTCTGTCTTACATAATCATGTAATCTAAGGCTGTATCACGAATGAAGTCATCTACCTAAAAATTCTGTAAAACGTTTTTTAATTGGTTAGCTGAGAGTTAGGACAAAAATATTTCAGTCTTTAACTAGCTCTTAAGAATTCTTACAAAAACATGTAAAAATATGCAAGAACCCCCCCCACCCCAAGAAACATATGCCATAAAAATTACCTTCATACTCTCCATCTCTGCCAGCTCAATTTGAAGAGTCAGAACCTCGGAAGACATGCTTTCGTGTACACGTTCAGACTTTATCCGCAGTTCCTCTGATTTACAAGAGAGGAGCTCCTTCTGATGATCCACTTGGTGCTTCAGCTGCTTTTCACTAAGCCTGGCTTCATCTAATTCCACTTTCAGCTTTTCTATCTAAAGAAAAAAAGTCACAATCTTATAAAGTGAAAGGTATTTTCTTTTTGAAAAATATGACTGAATTGACTCAAACTTATTTATGATAAGATTATTGGGGTTGCCTATTTGGCCAAGGCTAGGCATCTTTTAACAGGACACGCCTTGCTTAATAAACACAGAATTAATACATACAAGTAATTAGAGTAGGGCTGGATGCCTTAGAAGCAATCTGAGAGTACTGTGCTGCCACCATTCAGCAACTGTGTGAAGAATGAGTGGCATGAAAAGAAACAATGGAAGCTGGCACCTGGTTAGAAGGCTACAGCAGGCATCTGGGGAGCGATGACAGAAGTCTAGACCAAAGTGGTAACAGCGTAGATAGAGGCTTTCTAGGTCAAGTTCTTAGAACTTGATGATGGATTAAATGTGAGAAATAAGAAAAAAAGATATCAACCACCAAATTCTGGCACAAGTGATTTGAGGGAATCAGTAAACTGAAAATATTTCACTAATTTACTCTATGCTCCACCAAAAAAAGCCATCTCCATAATTACTCTTCTCTCAGTCCCTGAATATTCCCTACATCACTATTTTTTGTTTAAGTAATGTAAGCTATGGCTAACATGAAAATAACACCCAGCAGGAGAAAAAATATCCCAACAGTCACCAGTGTCTCCAATCAGATTAGTTGCAGACGAGCTGGGTTACTATCTGCCAGAGTGGTATACAATAGATTCTATGTATTACACAAAAGATAGCTATGTTGTTTTACTGCATAGCAGAAAAAAATTAAACCAGTTCAAATATGTAATTTCATTGCTATTACTTAAATGAGAAAATTTAATTTTAAGAGTCAATTTCATGAGAAATTAAGTAACACTATAGGTGGGACACAAAATTAGAAAAATATAAGAAGATACTACACAAAAAAACTAAAAATTAGAAACCAGATTTCTGAAAAAACAGTACAAAAGTCAGGCAAGTTTTGGCAAACAGTCATCTGGAAAAGTCAGACTACAAGCTATACACGAAGGGAGCCATGACAAAAGTTCTGGATTCTTTAGAAGCAACCTGAAAGTACCAGATAGTTGGGAGTACCAAAAGGGAATGCACAATAACGAAACAACCATTTGTATTTATGTTTGCAATGAAGTCAATGTAACAGGTTTGAGATTAAGCACAGTGATTCAGTAACACAGCCTTTGGAGTCAGACAGCCTCAGTTCAAATACTGACTGACAAATTCTAGCTAATTGTGTCCAATTTACTCAATTTGTCCAAACACTGGCTCTCTCATCTATTATATGGAAATAATAGTAGCACTTCCTTACAGTTATTGTGAGAATTGGATCATATATATTAGTTTAGCTTCAATAAACAAACTATAAGTTGTCATTTCTAGCATACATTAAATTAGAAGAAACTACTGGTTTGCTTCACAGAATTACAAAGCATACCACTACTGCATAAAAACTAAAGGACTAGCCTTTCTGCAAGGAAACTGCTACCTTGCTATAAGTAAGGAGGCCATGATGGTCACTAAACTAAAACTTCATCCCAAATACTCAGCTACCAAAATTAAACAACTGTATTTAATTAGTAGAATATTATTTACATAAGTCCTTTAGGCAAGCTCCTGTTTTTCAGTGTTCCCACTCCTAATATTAAGATAACTAAGACTTTGATCTTGCCTATTTTGCATAGCTGGTACTTAAGAAAATCTTCAGCTAAAGTTTACAAATGGCTACATAAACATGGAATATTATTATTTGGAAACAGATATGCAAACCTTATTTTTCAGCTCATTCACTTCCTGTCCATGGCTTCTGTTTAGTTGCTCTTCTAATTGCTCTTGGTGCATTTTTTGTTGTTGTTTAACAGCTTCACATTCACAGCTCAAACTTTCTAACATTCGACTCTTGAGTTCAACTTCTCTTTGAAGAGTATATTTTTCTTGTTCATAATTCTGAAAACAGATCCAATTACAATTCAATTACATAAAAATAGCTTAAAGCCATTACTATAATCAGTTCTCACCTTCAAATATTTCATACCTATTTCATACATTTGCTGTTCTCCAAGAAATAACACATGTTAAACCTGGAATAACTTTGTAGCCAATGCGTCTTAAAAACTCCTAGGTATGTTTTGAGACTATGTTAAAGTCCATGCTAGGGACACCTACCTGCTTCTGTGCCCTGTCAGGAGAGTAAAAAGTGCTCCATGGTATGTCAACATATCAAGGAATCTCTGCTAGCCAAAAGAGATTTAATTGCACTTATGTTTTCCTACTGAAAAATATTAGTTTGATAGTGAGGTGCTCTGCTTGTAGCTCTGAACAAAATGAAGAATAATATAGGTGTAAAGGAGAATACTGAATTAACCCTTACTTTCAGAAAGCAGTCAGTCATTAAAGAAATGTTCACAAAATGTCTACCAGAATGAATAAGTGCTGAGATAAAAGGCTTAATTAAAAAGGCTTTTGCTTATTCACAGGGAAGTTTAGAGATTAAAAAAGGGTATCAGTTTGAACTTCTTCAACGAGCTTTAAAAAATAAGATAAAATAACATTCTATTAAATTAAATAAAAGGAAAAAAGACCTGAAACATTGAAATTATTCCCCTGAAACCATTCTATTTTAAAGGAAGGCAAAGAAAATTTAATTATTAAACTAACACTGAAACAAAACAAGATATTCTTCAAAACGATTACAATAATACCATGTATTATACGTATAACACAATTTTATTTTCTACTTTAGAGAGATTTGTAATCTTTACCTTAATGACTTGATATTAAATTCTTCTTTTGTTTTTTTTTTTTTTTTTGAGATGGCGTCTCATTTTGTCACCCAGGTTGGAGTGCAGTGGCATGCTCATGGCCACCCCAGTGTCGACCTGCTGGGTTCCAGCAATCTTTCCCCCACAGCCTTCCAAATAGCTGGAACCACAGGCACACGCCACCACACTCAGTTAATTTTTGATTATTGTAGAGCAGAGTCTCGCCAAGTTGCCTGGGCTGGTCTTGAACCCATGGGGTCAGGCAATCCACTCGCCTCGGTCTCCCAAAGTGCTGGGATTATAGGCTGAGCCACCAAGTCCAGCCAATAATAAGTTCTTAGTCCAGAACAGTCCAAAACAAAGGTTGCCATAATTACTTTTACCTAATACACACACACACATGCACACTCACATATATACATATGTGTGTGCATATATGTGATATGTGTATCATATGTATACCATATGTATATATGCATAATATATATCACATATATGCATGTACATATATATGAGAGAACCCCCCCAAAACTGGAATTATCTTTTGGAGAGCGGGCCCCCTTGTAGTTCACTTGGAATTTGTTCCTCAGGATCAAATGGTCAACCAAAGTTTTTATCTGGAAGTTCTGAGAGTGTTATATCACAATTTGCAGAAGAAACATCCCAAGTTGTGGCTAACAGGTGACTTCCACCATGACAACGCACCTACCCAAACTGCACTGAGTATTCAGCAGTTTTTGACCCAAAACAGCACAACCCCAGTGTCCCATCCTCCTATTCATCCAACCTCACCCTGAGTGATTTTTTTTTCTTTCTTTGGATGAAACTCAAAGGGGAAATATTTTGCCAATGTGGAAGACATGGAGGGAGAAAAAACGGCAGAAGCACTAAAAGGCATCAAAATTGACAAGTTCAAAAATTGTTTTGAGCAGTGGAAACAGCATCTCAATAGGTGAATTACATCAAATAGAGAGTGACTGAAGTTTATAACATGTAAGAATATATATTTTTTTATAAATAAGTTCCATTTTTGGGTACCCCCTCATATATAAGTGACTGACATTTAAACACGTAAGAACACACCATTTTTATAAAAAAGCTGTTTTTTTGAGGGTCTCCCCTCATATATCTGTGATTCACATACACATATGTACACACATATATATACACATATATTTTTTACCTGCAAGATTTAAAATGTTGAGATCCAAGTTTAAATATGTTAGTGAGCACTGACTGAATTATACTGATTTATTAATTCATTCTTTCAATAAACATCTGTGTGCCAGGCACTGGAAATGCAACACTGAACATGACAGACACAGTGCCTTCTGTCATGGAGCTTATAATCTACAGATAATTAGCAATGCAGAGAATTAAAACAGGTAATCACTGCAACTTTACGTTACACAGTTAGAACTGGCCTTTCTGCTAAGGTGATATTTAACTGAAACTTGAAGTCTGAGGACTCAATCCATGAACATCGAGGGGTGAACAATTCAGGGGAAGGCCGTACCTAGTGGAAAGCCTGTAAGGCAGGACTCGTATAACCAAAAATAAGGAAAGGTGGTTTGAGATGAGGTGAATAGTTTGGCAGGGGTCAGATGACATGGGGATCTACAAACCCAAGTAAGGAGCTCATATTTTGTTATAAATGTAATTGGAACCATTGTATGCTTTTTAGCAGGGCTATAATGTGATTTTTGGTATATTTTTCCATGACTCTTTGGTTGCTGTGTGAAGAATGAATAACATGAAAGGCAACAATGGAAACAGACATACAGTCAAGACAGCAGTCACCCAGGGAGAGATGACGGTAATCTGAATAGAGTGACTATACATAGATGCTTTGTAGGTCAAGTTCTAAAAACTCAATGAATTAAATGTGAGAAACAAGGGAAAGAAAGATGTAAAGCCCCTAGACGTTTGGTTCAAGCAACTAAATGAATGGTATTACATTTAATAAAAAAGCTAAAGAAACTGGAAGAGAATGTTTGGTCAATGAACAGGGAATCAACTATTTTGTTTATGTTAAGTTTGAGATGTCCATTAGTAGGCTGTTGAGTCCACAGATCCAGACTTCAGGAGAGAACAAAGGACTTGGTATGGTGTCATGGGATATTTAGATGTTATTTCGAGGTCTGAATCAAGTGAGGCAACCTAGGAAGAGTGTAGCCAAAACAAAATCTGGCGGTTAGTGTGGTAAAGATAGTACTCATAACTTGAGTTTTTAAACTGGGAATATATTGGTTTGAAAGAATATCATGAATTCATTGAGTTCATTTTCCTTTAATGGAGATGTGGGTGGGTAGGAACTCGACCTAAAAGCTCCAAAAAGAATACAATAAGATTAATAATGATTACTAAATAAGACAAGTCTTCAATAGCTAAGCACACCCTTGTAGACAGAGGAATCCAGAGTCCTACCTCACTCAGTGTCATCATTTCATTACGACATTTGTCCAGTTGATTCTGCAATTCATTCTGGCTCTCTAATAGTTGTAAACCATACTGTGCGGCCTTTAATCGCTCTTCTTCAACCTCTTTGAGCTTGGAACGAAGATTTATAATTATATCTTCCTCCATGTTCTATTCTTGGTTTTTGGCCTACCCTAAATAGAGGAAATAAAACCACTTAAACAAAAAACTCCATGCAATGGTATCAGTAACAGAAGAAATATATCTACTCAATACTACTGTTATATATGAAGACACAGTATTAAAATCTTCCTGACTTAGCCAAATTTGCATCCTTGCTCCAAGAACAAGAATTTTTCTGAGGATTCTGTTATCTGATTTAAGATAAAATAAAAAAGAATAGAAATATATTTAATTTTGCCTCTAAATCATTAAGGAATTGTTCAGTTGCTATATGCCAAGCTTCCTTAAATACTAAGGTAGGGTTAGTCTCATAACTGTACCACTATCCGTTTAATCAAAAGTTGAGAACAATGAAAGAAACTTTTCAGTAGCATCACTTCTACTTAAAACATAAAAAGGAAGCTTTGAATGAGGTTCATAAGATAAAACAAGAAATATCAATGTCTGATTTTTCACAAGTGTTAACTTCCTAAACATTAAAACTGCTTTCTTAAAAAGAGACTCACTAGTATTTTCCTAGTTATTCATGAGAGCATGCAAAATAGAAACCATATTCAGAGGAATTAAAGGACATGCTTTCATTCTAGATTTTCAAGCAAACACTTAAGTATTAAAGAAACATTCTACTTTAACTCAATCTCATTCATTATCCTTTCCTATTTGGCTCCAGTCTCTTAAGCCAGACTTACCTTGCCTTCAAGGAGCACCGGGCTATTACTGGGGTGTTCCCCCAAGTCTCAAGTCAGTGTAGTCATGCACTGAACAAGTATTTCTTGAATACTTTATTTATGAGGCTCTATTCTGAGCACTTCAGATTCATTTGGGAATAAATAGACAAAAAAGTTCTTTTGTGACACATTCCAGGAAAATAAAATAAACAAGTAATAGCATATTAATTACATTTGAAATGGTAAATAGAGGGGAAAATAGAATAGAATAAGGAGCTGGGAAGAAGAGTTAGGTAGTATAAGTAGGAGAGAAGATGAATTAGCCATGCAGCTATTTAGAGGGAGAATGTTCCAGGCAGAGAGAAAGCCCTGCAGCTGAAGGAAGTCTAAAGAATGAACAATAGAATTTGTGTTGAGAAAATACAGATAGTGGACAAGTCAGCCCATTAAAAGGATTTTGGCTTCTACTCTGGGTAAAATGGCACGTCAATCCAAAGTGTAGAGTAGAGGATTTGATGTAATTTAAAAGGATTATTTTGGCTCCTATATTGAATAGTGAAGAGGGAAATAAGGGTAGAAGCAGAGACTATGTGAGAAGATGGCTCAGACTGAGAGCACAGGAGGCAGTGAGAAATGGCCTGATTCTGCATATATTGTGAAGGTAAGGTAAGGTGAATGTGAGTTTCAGACAGATGGAATATGGGATGTATGAAAGAGAGAAAAGTCAAAAATGTCTGCAAGGCTTCTAGCCTGGGCAACTAGTAAAATGGAGTTGTTATCAGTTGCAGCATTAACGTAAAGAATGTTTTGGTAGGAAATTAGGAATTCAATGAACGGTGTCAAAAAAAGCAGTTGGATATATAAGTGGGAGAGATGTCTAGGCTAGATATATAAATCTGGGATTGTCAGCATATGGAGGATGAATATAATTAAAGAGAAAGGACTGAAGATTGAACTCTGTTATGAGGTGCATAAGGCAGCAAAGTATACTAAGGAGTGACCAGTGAGGCAGGAAGAAAATGAGGAATATGTGTTGTCCTAGAAGCCAACACACAAAGTGTATTAAGGAAGTGGAAGTGTTAATCATGCCAAATGCTGCTGCTAAGTCAAATAAGGTGGGAACAGAGCAGTGGCTATTGGATTTGAATCCTTGAGGTCACTGGTGACAACAAGAGCAGTTTGATACAGAGGTAGAGGTGAAAGCTTGACTGGAATGTATTTGAATGAGAATGGCAAGAGACGAATAAAGATGGCAAGTACAGTTTTGTTGCAAAGGAGAGCAGATAAATGGGGCAGTGGCTGGAAAGGAAGAAGAGACAAGTTTTTTAAAATTTATTTTTAGATATATAAACTAACAGTATGCTTGTAGACCACAGGATGCATCCAGTAGAGAAGAAAAACTGATGATATAGAAGCACTGAAAAACTGTTAGACTAACATCCCTGAATAATGGTGATGCCTAATATAGAGGAACTGGTTTTAGATAGGAGCATGGGCATTTCATCTAAAGTTAAAAAAAAAAAAAATCAAAGTATACGAGGACAGATGTTGATAAGTAGGTATAGTGGTGGAAGTATGAATAAGTGCCCTTCTGACTGCTTCAATTTATCAATGAATTAGGAAGCAATGTCTTTGGAAATGGAGAGAGAGAACTTGCAGAGATTTAAGAGAGAAGAAAAGGTATCCTAGGTTATCCCAGCCTGGCAGTTATTGCTCTAAAATGGAAGACCTTTTCAAAGCCTGTACATAAAGGGGCCAACCAGTGAGTTGTTGTACTGTTAATAATAACTTATATTTGTTGAGGATTTGCCATTTGCCAAGGTAAGTACTTAAAATGCATTATTGCATCTAATTTTCTCGAAAAGCCTGTGTTAAGTAAATATTATCATCTCCATCTACCAAAGGAAAAAAAGTGGTGTTACAACCTCAAGACATTCCAGCCAGGCATCTCTAGGAAAGCCAAAAAATTAGTTCTCATTTATCAAAAGATTTGCTAGAATTCCTATTATGTCAGACTCTATGCTAGTGAGTACACAATGGTGACCCAAAACAACATTCCTGTCTTTTTGAATCTTACAGTCTATTAGTGGAAAGGCATTAGATCAAACAAACTCAGAAGTTACAAGTGTGCTAAGTGCAAGAGGGAGAGATGTATGCGACGTGAGCCTGTAACAAGAGGGAGCTGCCCAAATCTGGAAGGTGTGGGGTAGATGGGAAAGTGGACAAGAAAGATTTCCCTAATGAGGTGACTTTTCAGAAGACATCTAATGGATGAGAAAGAATTAACCTATCAATCAGCCTACAAAGAGAGGTAGCCACAGTTGAGTAACAACCACAGTTAATGTGTGCCAAACATAGATGCTTGGTGCTTTGTATATATTATCTTATTCAGTCCTCTCAACAACTCCATGAGAAAGAAGATATTTCCATCATTTTACATATATGCAAACTGAGGCACAGAAAGATTAAGTCACTTGTCAGGGTTAGTGGCCAAGTGAGATGGAAACCAGAATCTAGCCCAAAGCCTTTTCAGTCCAACCACTTTTCAGTCCTGCCTCTCAAAAAACAGCATACACAAAACACTTGGGAGATAGGAAGTTCTGGGAATGAAGCTGTCCGAATTCTACCACACGTCCACTACTCACTGGCTGCATGAACTTGGACAAGCTGTTGAATATCTTGTTTCATCATCTATAAAACATGGACAATATAACACCCCCCAATCGGGTCACTGATAAGATTAAATGACTTAATGGATGAAAAGCACCTGACAGGCTGGAGCAGTCCTGTCCAACAAATATATAACGCGAGTCATTTATGTGATCTTAAGTTTTCTAAACGCCACATTTTAAAATAAAGGAAACACAGGTGAAAAATTAATCTTAAAATTTTATTTAAGCAAATACACCTGAAATATTATCATTTCAACATGTAATTGTTACAGAGATTAATGAGATACTGCTCTTTTGCTCACTATCTTTGAAATTCAGTGTGTATTTTACATTTGCACCATTTCTCAATTCGGGATAGTGGCTACCGTTCCGGATAGCGCAGGTCCAGCAGCTGTCATCATTCCGAGGCCCAGGCAGCCGACCCGGCCATATTTACCCCGAGTCACCAAGGGCGGCGAGGGGGTCCAACCGAAGACTGCGACCGGCTCGAAACCCAACTGATAAGAACTCAGGGTTCCGGAGAAGAAGGTGTTTCAGATAAGGTCCTCCTACGAAACCCAGGCCCCAGGTTTCCTTAAGCCCTGCTCTCCTCTCTCACCGCCGCTCTCCACATCCATCTCCCACCAGGGCCCGTAGCCCTACCTCTCTCCTTACCCTGGTTCCCTGCTGCTGCAGTCGGTGGCTCGTCACGAGGGCTCCGGACGGCCAGATTCCGCACGCCAACTCCCAACCACAGAGAGGCCGGCTCTCTCGAGTTAACTCTCGAGTAAGCGCCAGGGCTTTTTGAATGCAGTTCCCGCGAGAGCTCCCACGGCTCACGAGATGTTCCGCCCCAACCGCGCGTTCATAACTAGCCGGGAGAAACTCCCGACAGAGCGCCCCGCCCTCCCTGCAGCGACTGCGCAGGTGCGGGAGGCAATCCGCGGGACTGGCGCAGGCGCGGACGTGCTCCTCTCCCGTTCCTTTCATTTGGGGCTGGTACCCTGGGTGTCTTCGGGGCATCGTGGATTTTGTTTGTTTGCTATTTTGTTTTGTTTTTTGTTTGTCTGTTTACGACGGTGTCTTCTGGAGGGACAGTGTCGCAGGCGACGGTGGAGAGTGCCCACTGTCACATCGTGCCTACCTCACACGCCCCGCCAGTGTCATCGGGGAGCCCTCCCTCTGGCATCTGTCTTTGGGTCCCAGGAACCTGGATCCGTGTGCCAGTATCTAAGAGCATCATGTGGCAAAGCCACGGTTACCATTACAGGCCAGGATGGTGGTTATCATAATACTGGCCTTCACATTGAGCCCTGTGTTGTACAGATGACTTCATTTAAGGCCGCAAACAGCCTGATGAGGTCGGTAGATAACAATACCCCTCTTGTTCTACAGAGAAAACAAAGCCCCAACAAAGTGTCTTGTCCCAGTGGTAAAACTAGAATTTGAATTAATGCAGTCTGCTTCTAGAGTCCAAGCTCTTGTCTGCATGTGTTTTTAATAACAATGTTTTTGTAAACCTGATGCCCATTCACTATTTTAAAAATTAAGCAATCAGAAGTAGGAAATAGCCAACATTTAGTGAGCAATGCTGAGTCGTGGTATGCTTTTGAGGCATCTTTTTCTTGCCTATTTGAGGACTTCACTGTAACTCCCTTTTCATCAGCAGCTTCCCCCCCCCAGCTTCCCAA